GGAATGGATTTGGGAATTGCAGGGCCCAATGAAATGGGAATTTTCCAAGGATTTTTGGGATTTTTCGGAGCATAAAGTAGAAATTTCAGCTCCATATTATTCCCTGGAAAATGCAGCTCCAACAGGGCTGGTCTGCAGTTGGGATTTGTCCTTAAACTCCTAAAAAAGTTCTTTTTCCAGCTTTTTTTGGGAGGGAAAAAAGAGAAATCCTAATTTTAAAAGCTGACTGCCTGGTAAAAACAGGGATTTTCCTTCCCAGAACATGAATTTTCCTTTCCAAATTCCATTTTCCTTCCCAAAACCATTTTCCTCTCCCCAAACTGAAATATTCCACACTTTTCCTTGGCATTTCCCACTGCCCTGGACTCAGCAAATCCCAATTCCCAACTTTTAAAAGAATTTTAGTTAAAAGAAAGTAACTTTTCTTGAAATTTAAATTAAAACAAAAGGGTTTTTTCCCTATTTTCCGACCGTGAATTTACTCCTTGATCAAAATTTGGGAATGAATCCCCCCCAAATCCTTCAATTTTCCCAACAGCCTCTCTAAAAAAATCCTGAAATTGGATTTTTACCCCAAAATCGGGGAAGTGAGTGTAAAGAGGAGGGGGGAAAAAAGGGAGACATTCAGACTTAATTGGATTTTTTTCAACTCCCGAAATCCCCCAAAAAAAGGGGGGTGAAGCTGAGGGAAAATGGGGGGGAATTAAAGGGAATTTTCTGGTCCTGGTGCTGGCCCTGGATTTGGGATGGAGCCCTGGGGTTGGGATGGAGCCCTGGGTTTCACACAGATCCCTGGGATTTGGGATGGATACCCAGGAATCACCGCAGACCCCCCAGAATTTGGGATGGACCCTTGGGATCCACTGCAGAATCCCGGGATTTCACCCAGATCCCTGGGATCCACACAGAGCCCAGACCTCCCACAGGCTCTCGGGTTTTCCAGCAGATCCCCAGGCCCGCAGGTTTTGGGGGAAAGCCCTGGATTTGGGCAGTTTGGGACAATCCCTGCGGTTCTGCCCCAGCCCCTCAGGCTTTCCAGTGAATCCCAGAGTTTTCCAGGGGATCTTCTGGGGCAGACCCTCAGAGTTTTGAGGAACACGCTCCCAAGTTTTCCAGCAGATCCTTGGATTATCCCATAAATCCTCGGGATTCACTCAGAGCCTGGGGTTTTCCAGCAGAATCCCAGGATTTGGGGCAAACCCTCAGGATTTCCTGCAGAGCCTCAAGTTTTGGCACAAATCCCTGGATTTTGGGGTAGCCCCTCAGGTTTTCCAGCAGAGCCCAAACTTTTCTGACCGACCCTCAAGTTTTGGACAGACCCTCAGATTTTGGGACAAACCCTCAAATTCTGGGACAGACCCAAGGATTCTCCAGTAGAAAATCCCTTGAGTTTTCCAAGAGACCTCTGGATTTTCCAGCAGAGCTCCGAGTTTCCCTGCCACCCCTAAGGTTTTCCAGTGCAGCCCCAGCTTTCCTTTCAGCCCCTCCGATTTTAGGATAAACCCTCCAATTTTAGGCAAAATCCTCAGATTTTGCCCCAGACTGTCAAGTTTTCCAGCAGCCCCTGGGATTTCCAGCAGCTCCTCAGCTTTCCCTCAGCCCCGCAGTTTCCCCCAAACCCCTCAGCTTTTCCTGCATCCCAGCTTTTCCCTTCAGCCCCTCAACTTTTCCTGCAACTCTCAGTTCTCCTCAAACCCCTCGTCTTTCTCTGCACCACTCAGTTTCCTCCCAAACCCCTCAGCTTTTCCCCAAACCCCTCAGCTTTTCCTGCATCCCTGTTTTTCCCTTCAACCCTTCAACTTTTCCCCAAACCCCTCAACTTTTCCTGTACCACTCAGTTCTCCCCAAAGCCCTCAGAATTCCCTGCACCCCTCAGTACTTCCTGCATCCCTCGTCTCTCCCCGCACATCCCCGCTCCTTTCCCCCTCCTTTCCCCGCACATCCCCGCGTTTCCCCGCCCCGTGCCCAAAACTTTCTCCGTGTTTCCGGAGTGCCGCTCCGGGCCCGCCGCACACCGGGGGACACCCGCGGCCACCGCGCGCTCCCCGGGGCTCCCTCCGGGCTCCCGGCAGCGGAGGAGCGTGCCCCGGTGGCCCCGGTGGCCCCGGTGGTGGCCCGTCCCCTCCCCCACTCCCCTCCCCCGCTTCCCAAGGCTCTGGCACCAATAATCCGCCTTTGCTGACATGCTCTGGTGGCTGTGCCTATCGGGCAACTCCCAGGATGCACTCCCGCTCCTCCCTGGCACCCCCTCACCCGTGCCCACCCTCCCCTCGGACTTCCCAACCTTTTCTTTTTCGCTTTTTTTTTTTTTTTTTTTTTTTTTTTTTTTTTTTCCCCCCCCCCCCCCCCCCCCCCC